GAGTAGGGGGAGGCCTGGAGGCTGAGGGGAGCCGGAGGGGGGTGATCATTATTATGCACCTCTCTTTAGTCAAGTAATGCACGAATATATTCTTTCTTTTTTTTTTAACTTCTCACCCAAGGAAATATTGTTATTGATTGTCAGAGAGAGGAAGGGAGAGAGAGAAAGAGGGAGAGAGAAACATTGATGTGAGAGAAACATCGATTGGTTGCCTCCTGTATGGGCCCCAACCGGGAATCGAACCCGCAACCTTTTGGTGCAAGGGACAGCGCTGCAACAAACCGAGCCACCCGGCCAGGGCGGAATGAATCCATTATACATTTTTCACAAATGCAGTTGCTTTGCTGTCCAGCCCCGCCGGCCTGCCCCCAGGCCTCACTGTTTTCAGTTTGGAGGAAGCTTCTAGACCAGCTCAGCGGAGACCCTTGTGTGCCCACACAGACCCCGGAGACACCCAGAGTCCGAGCCACAGCCGCCGGGGCTCCACGGGTCGCACGGACCACCCGCCTGCGTGGGTCCCGCGGCTGCTCAGGGCTCCGGTGGGAGGCTGGGTGGTGGCCAGATTCTCGCTCTAATGAACCATCTGAGAAGGAGCCCTGGACGGCCCTCCCCGCGGGTGCGCGTGGGCGGCTCCCAGCAGCGGATACTGTAGCCAGCCTGGCCGAGGGCTACAGTGTAACAAGCTCTCCGGAGGCTTTTTCTGAATGAACCTCCGTCCTTACAAACCCCTGGAGGAGCTCGGGGCGACGGCCTCGCTTTCACAGGCGGGAATGCGGCCCAGAGAAGTTCAGTGATTTGCCCAAGGCCGCACAGCTAGTGAGCAGCATCGCAGGGCCATGGGTGTGCACGTTCCTTCAAAGCGATTTTCATTTTATTACTTAAACCTGTTACTTTAAACCTATTTTATCCACCCGAGGATATTGCCCATTGGTTTTTGTTTGCTTGTTTGTGTTTTTTTAAGAGAGAGGAAGGGAGGGAGAAGCATGGGTTGCCTCCCAGGCGCACCCCACAGGGAATCGGACCTGCAGCCTTTCGGTGGACGGGACGATGCTCCGACCGGCTGGGCCACCCAGAGACTCGTCCCCTTTTCTTCCTTTTCCTTTTTTTGAGCAGAGGAGAGAGTATCAGGCTTGTCTTGTGGAAGGACCAAGTGTGTGCCCCCCAATGGGGTGCTGGGCTAGGGGCATGGAGTCGGTGAAGGAGGTCTGGGGTCCCCTGGACTGCTCCCCACGCCCAGACATGGAGCAGAGGAGACAGGTGGAGGAGGCCAGCCTGTGGTGAGACCACTGTCTCTCTCTCCTTTGCTTCCTAGAGAATCTTGATGCCAGCCGGGAGCAGAGACTGAGCTGGACCACTGGAGCCTGGGTGAGTGGGGCCCGGGCCCCCCGTGGGAAGGCAGTGGGGGTACCTCCTCGCAGCGGGGCCGGAGGGGCCGCTCCCTGGCTGCGTGAGGACCTGGTCCTGCGGGACCTGTGTGTACACGTCTGCTCACGTGTCTTGCCCATGGAGACCACTGCCAGGTCCCGGCTCCCGAGTCAGGTTTTGCTTGGTGTGTGTGGGGGGGGGGGGGGGGGGGGGGGGGGCGGGTGGGGCGGGGGGGGGGGGGGGGGGGGGGGGACGGGCAGGGAGACTGGCGGTGTTTGGGCGCTGGAGCCTGAGTCCAGACCCTTCCCGGGCCAGTGGCAAAGGCTGGCGTGTGTGTGACTTCTTGGAAGTGCACCTCCGGCCTCCGGCCAGGAAAGCCGCCTGGTGCCCCGAGGAAATCCCCGCGGCCAGCTTCCCGTAGGCAGGGCCGGCGGGGGTCTGGGCCACCTTCAAAACAGGAAGCGCCCGTTCCAGGAACTCCCGAGGCGGAGGGGCAGGAAGTCCGCTGGCCGAGCCTGGCACTTCCCGCACGGGCCTGCCTTCAGCCCGGCTCGGCCTCTGGTCAGGTGGCTCGGTCACCCTTTGCTCCTGGGCCTGACCGGGCCGGTCACCTGAGGCTGTGTTTGCTCAGGAAGTGCAGGGCAGCTGCTGCCTGTGGAGGGTGACCCAGTCCCTCCTGCCAGCCTGGGGCTCAGCCTGGGCTCAGCACGGGGGGTTCGAGCTTCACTCTGCCCTCCTGCCTGAAACCCAGAAGGGTCCCGGGGCAGGGAGCCCGGGTGTGGGCCTGGCCGGCTCTCCCAGGGCGGGCCGGGCAGTGGCTGGTGTCTGTGCCAGGTCCTGGACCACACAGGAGACTGAGCATTAGGTTGGCCAGCCCTGGGGCCTGGGCCAGAGGACCAGGCTGGGCTCTCCCCCTGGGGGGCCCGAGGGGACTCCGCCAAGTGGACATTAACCACAGAAAGCCCACAGCATTCTTTTCCAGCACCGGGACCACAGAGGTGGGAGCTGGCAGGGTTGAGGGAAGGTTCAGGGTCAGAGCTGAGAGCTGTTCCAGAAGGGGGGTTCCCCCAGCATTTCCCCACTCGGTTGGCTCTGGGTTCAAATCCCTGCCGGGCGCTTCAGACTGGCAGGGGGCCCTGGGCACGGTCCGTGGGACTGGACTGCTGGAGTGCCTGGGTTCCCGCAGCTCCGGCTCCGCCCCGCCCCCGCCCCACCGCCCGAGTTCCCTCCCAGCCGGGTAACATTCCATTCATTCCCGGCTCAGCCAGCCGCCAAACAGGCAGCTTAGCCGCAGCCTCTGGGGCTCTCGGCTGGCTCTCAGCTCTGCTCTCTTGGGTGAGTGGGGCCGGGCAGGGAGGGCCAGCCCAGTCTTGAGGCTGAGGGGCCGGGTCAGGCCGGGCAGGGAGGGCCAGTCGAGTCCTGAGGGAGAGGGGCCGGGTCAGGCCGGGCAGGGAGGGCCAGTCGAGTCCTGAGGC